ACCAAAAAAAAAAAAAAACAAAAACAAACAAACAAACAAAAAAAAAAACACCAAAAAAAAACCCCACAAAAACAACAACAATAACATCAACAAAAAAACTACAAAGAAAAAATAAAAAATCCCAAATAACCCACCACAAAAAGGCTAACCAACCAAAAAAACCCCACAGGAGTGAATCTCTGCCCCAGAAGGATTACCACGAGGTGAGGGAAGGCACACAAGAGGGTGAGGATTCTCCAATTCTGTTTTCTGGGATTTCAGACCTTTCCATCTCTGTCTGCAACTAGCAAAGCAATGATACCTCCCAGAGAAATACCACCTCCAGGGCTAATCAGCTTCCATGTCTTGGAAATATTCATAAATAAACAGAAGAAAATGAATTGTTTCCCACAAATACTTAACAGATAAACCTTCCTGGTAAGGAAAAAAGCTCCCCGAGAAAGGAATTATCTCCTTGGTCCAGGGGAGTTTTTGATCATTCCTAGGATTTGGGAATTTAAAGAAATCATGACAATAGATGATGGTGTCAAATAGAAAAGCAAGTAAACTGCTGCAGCTGTACAGGCACAGCAGTGCTCTGTAATTCCAGAGTCTGGGATATCACTGGGGCAAGGTGAGGAGTTAGGAGAGTTAACAGGAATTATTTGAGCAAGAATTTAATTCTTTGAGATTTAGTTGCTTATTTTAGCTTTCAAAACTCTTTAAAAGGTAAAATTAACTTTGGGCATGCCCCTAAATGTCACTGTGGACAAGAGGAAGGATTTACACCCGGGTGTTTTTTCAGGGTTTTGGCAGTGCAGACAGTCTTAAAGGAAAATAAGGATGGACTGGGAGGTCCTGGACATGAACCTGAACTCTCCGGGCACTTCAGGAGAAAGATTATATAAAATAGATTCTGGTTAGTCTATAATTACATCTTCTCTCCATTCCTTGTTTCTTCAGATAGTGTTTTTTCATGGTATCATGGAATCACATGCATCGCAGACATCTTTTATGAAAAATCCTTTCCTTTGGATTTTTCCTCCTGAGAAGCTGAAAGGCCTCAGGAACAAAATGTAAACAATGATTACCTGCTGCTGTGGAATGCAACAGGTGCATCTGTGATCGGTCTCATGTGCTCATTTCTAATTAATAGCCAATCACAGCCCAGCTGTCTTGGACAGAGAGTCGAGTTACAAACCTTTGTTATCATTCTTTGCTATTCTATTCTTGGCCAGTCTTCTGATGAAATCCTTTCTTCTATTCCTTTAGTATAGTTTTAATATAATATATATCATAAAATAATAAATCAAGCCTTCTGAAACATGGAGTCAGATCCTCATCTCTTCCTTCATCCTGAGACCCCTGTGAACACCATCACACATATAGGCTGGGAAAAACCTTTATGATTACTAAGTCCAACCATTCCCCCAGCACTGCCAGGCCCACCCCTAACCCACGTCCCCAGGTGCCACATCTACAGCTACAACACATCTGGAATATTTCCCTATAGAATCCTGACATTGTATTTTCACCTTTGCCACCTGTCCAGCCCACCTAAACTTTCAAATTTTCCCTCTGTTCCTGTTGTAAACTTCCCCAAGCTGAGCTCTGCAGCTCCAAGGATTTCTGGATGGACAGGCAGAAGTGTCCAGGTTAGCTAAGTTTGTAAAAGATAAAATTACTGTTTTCTGGGAAAAACCCCCAACAACAACAACAACATGGGAGACACAAAATAATAACCCAGCAGATCTCACAAGCCAATTGCCAAAACCTTTTACAGCCATGCTTTGTCTTTCCACCAGCTGCAGATCCCAGCCCTTATTCTGGGCTCTGCACTGCAAAACTGGCCTTTCCTTTCCACTGGAAAGAACCAGGAATAAAAGAAGCACAGAAATGTAAAGGCTGAAATGAAAGTGGGAGAGCAGGGGGAGCGTGGCAGTGCTGGTGTTAACGCTGAAGTATTCCCTGGGAGCGTGAGCTGGCAAATGGAGTGGACACCCAGATATTTGAAATGCAGCCAAATAATTTGGCACATCTCTAAACTGGCACAAAGCAGTCTTAGCAGAGCTTCCTACTGCTGCTGGCACTTTTACAGCTGTCTTTCTTCATCTTGCTCTTCCCACTGCAACAGCTACTCAACAGGTGTTTCCACAGGCACAGTGTGTTTGGCAGCTGCAACCCTTCAATATTATCGCTGGAATACATTTTTCTCCCCATCAACAGCATTGCCTGGCTCTGTTGCCCAGAGGCCAGCATGGCAACGGGGACAGCTGACCAACTGGATTTGGGAAAAGGGGGCTGTGGGCTCTGGGCAGCCAGATGTAGGAGCCAGTAGAGCAGTTGGAGAACATCAAGGCTTGGCATGGCTCTGGAAGGCTGGAGTGATGCTTGGCTGAGGTTCGTCTGGATCCCCATATTCTGCTCACCTGGGTCTTCACTGCTTTTTTTTTCACTTGTTGCCCTCCTGGTCCCACATCCATCAAAAGAACATATTCTTAGTTATTTTCTGTTGATTAAACAGGCATGGAAAGCATAATTTCTTTGTTCTCTGTTGTTTGCTTGGAATACAAGGGGATTTCACATTCTGTGATTTTCTTCATTGCAAGCAAGTTTCCCTAACCTCTGGGTTTCCTGTCTTTGATTTTTCATAAGGATTGAGTGTTTGCTCAAATTATGATGGATTTTCTCTGCCTGCCCCTGTTCAGTCTTCAATCCAAATGTGCTTAGAGCAGAAGACAGGAGAACTCAAATCCTAGAGGAAACCTGGGAACTGTGAGACTTTCAGAAACAGAAAGCACCCAGAGCAATTCAAAGGTGAGCCATTTTGGAGTAAAGTTCATGGGGACATTAAAATTAAAAAAATATCTTTTTTCTTTTTTTTTCCCCAGCTTGCCTGTGGGGCTTTTTGGCCTTTTTTCACCTTTTTGGTTTTCATCTCATACAAATCAAGGCAGTCTCAGCTCTTTCAGCAATGCAGTCCATGGTTTGCTGGATGTTTTGTTCTTCCCACTGCACATGTTCCCTGTGCACAAAACCTTGCAGCTGAGAAACTTCCAGAGCAAGAGAAACACGATGTTTAACAGCCCCAAAACAAGCTTCTCTCCAAGGATTTATCTGCTGGCTTTTTGAACCTTGGTGAACTTTGAATATCTGCCTCTTCACACCTCTGGATGCAGAGAACCATTTCTTCTTGTTTATTTTGCATCCACCACCCAACAGTTTTGCTTGGTGTCCCTAAGTCTTGTATTGGAAAACAGGTGGGAAAATGAGTTTCTGTCCCTCCCTGCTTCTCCAGCAGCTGTGGTTTCTCAGGTCTGAGCTTATGGGTAAGTTCTCCACCCATCCTCCCTTTCCCATGAAGTGCTTGACATGGACATTTAAAATATAAGTATGGAAATGTCCCAGTGGATCTTAACTGTCTCTGCTCCCCACAACATCTCACCTTGGATTCAGTCCAGGGGAGGCCATGAAGGTGATTAAAGGGATGGAATCCACTCCTGCAAGGAAAGGCTGAGGGAGTTGGAGTTGTTCATCTCAGGAGATCATAGAGCTCCTTCCAGTGCACGAAGAGGCTCCAAGACAGGGACAGGGCTTTGAACAAATGGACAGGACAAGGAGAAATGGCTGCACACTCAGAGAGACCAGATTTAGGTTGGATATTAGGAAAAAAATTCTTGGCTGTGAGGGTGGGGAGGCCCTGGCACAGAGTGCCCAGGGAAGCTGTGGCTGCCCCATCCCTGGAAGTGTTCAAAACCAGGTTGGATGGGGTTTGGAGCACCCTGGGATAGTGGGAGGTGTCCCTACCCATGGCAGGGGGTTGGAAGGAGATGGTCTCCAAGTTCCCTTCCACCCCAAACCGTTTTGGGGTTCCATGACCTCTCCAAAGAGCCAGAATTGCATTTCCAGCCCTCTTCTCTCTATGTTTACGTTGGATGTGTAGACACAGACTGGCTAACCACAGGTAGGGCCCTTGAAGAGCCCAAGTCTCAAGGTATCTGTGCGCAGAACAAAAGTTGTTAAATCTCTGTCCAGAGCACCACAAGCTCTCAGTTCCCCACCAGGGCCAGGAGGCCGTGAGGCTGTTACAGCCCTCTTCCCACTCTCCCCAGTGTTGCCATTAATATGTAAAAGCTTAAGCTTGCTAAAGGGATTATTTCCCATCCTATCTGATTGTAAACTGGCATTTCAATGATTACATGTATCTTTTTGTCATTTCCTCGTAAAACATCTTATTCTTGAACAGCATAATTGGCCTCTTACTAATGTTTAATGAATGATTAAATCAGCATAAATGCAACATACAGCTCGACATGGAAAGCATGTTTACAACCTCCAGAGCCACAAAAATGTATTTTTTGCAATATAGGTTTTAAACCCTTGTAGTTTCCTGATTATGAACTTTCTGGTATATTTTACATTAAATACGTGGGAAAGAAAATGTGAATTTGCCTGTGTGAGCTCAGAAGCAATTCAGTCACTTATCACTTTGTTTGAAATTCATAACCTGTGTATTAACAACACCTCTGTGGTTTTCATTTAAGTATATTATGTAATCTTCCCAAATTAAAAGCCAATTAAAGTCACATAATTGCAGAGCTCAGGCAGGTAAGTCCTTGTGGAGATGGCTAAGCAAGGACACTGCCTTGCACTGGCACATCATATTAACCACCCTCACAGAGAGACTCCAGGATTTGCCCAGGAAAAGGAGTCCAAGTCAAATGAAGCATCAAATGAGTGTAAAGAGAAATGGAAAGCTATTTCTTCAAAGGAAGGAGAAATATGGGAGGATACAAATCCAGCTTGCTAAAATATGAGATTGAGAGGCTTTTAAGACAAATGGAAAGTCAATGATGATCTCAGGATCACAGGTGTGAGATTAATTTAAGAAAGTCCACTTTAACAAAGGCCCCTTTTGACAAAAAACAGACCCATAAAAGTGGGATATGTTTTACCAGGGTGACTGCAGCACTCCAGTATCCTGTAGGAGTGGAAAAACCAAGTGAAGTCCTAAGGTTTACCTGTCCAGATGTAGCCAGTGGAGTTAGGGGACTATCACTGATCCTCTCCAGGTCACTGGCTCAGGAAAGATCCTCCCATCTCAACTAGCACAGAGAAGCCAGGGAGATGGGGAATTTCAATCTTCCAGGAGAAGATGCAAAAACATTCTTCTTTCCCTGTAGAAATATGGCAGGGAAGTGAGCACAACAAAGCAAAGAAGCCTGCTCAGGCAGAAAACTGGCATTAGCACAAGGATATATCAGAACAAGCCAAATAGTTTGGGGGTGGAAGTTACAGTTCCCAAGCATTGAGGTGCTGAAGCAGCTCTTTGACAGATGCTGCAGGGCCAAGGAAATGCATGGGTTTGGAGTGAGGCTGGATTTGTTTGTGAAGGGGCTGGGGGTCTGTTTTCCCTTCAAAGCTGCTATCTGCATTGTTCAGCAAGAAAGTTTCTCTGCAAGAGCAGGAAGAAAAATTATACCACAAGGCAGCATCCTTGAGGTGTGCCAGGCTGCTGGCTGATCCTGGGGCTCAGCTGCACCATGGGATTGCTAATTTGAGAAAAGACCTCCAAATCACCAGCTGACCAGCTCTCCTGGGGTTCAACTGCACCATGGAATTGTTCAGGTGAGAAACGACCTCCAAATCACCAGCTGACCTGCTCTCCTGGGGTTCAACTGCACCACAGAACTGTTAATTTGAGAAAAGACCTCCAAGACAACCAAGTCCAACCATTCGCCCAGCACTGCCAAAGCCACCAATAACCCACATCTCCAAGTGCTGCTGTCTGGAGATTTCCTGAGCTCCCTCTGCACCTCTACTGAAGAAATATTTTTTCTCATTCTGGAGAGGAGAGAAATGGTTTTTTTTTCCAACCAGACCAGTGTGATGCCCACACAAATGGATTTTCCCTTCTGCTCTCCCACAGCTGTAGCTATTCCTCATGTGCTTTTATGGCAAAACTCCACAGTCAGGACTTTCTGCCCACTGCCCAACCTGTGGCCTTGTCCATAAAGCCCAGCTGACAGGAATTCTTCCTCCAACCTCCTTTGTCATTTAACCCTCCCATATCTGGCTGCCTTCATCCACTTCTGGAATGCAGCATACAAGGCAGTAAAAAAAAGAAGACAGTTGGGTGGTCTGTTATGGTAACAAATGCAAACAAAGTAAAAAAATATTAAAAACTAATTAAAATGGCAAAACAATGTCTTATAAAGGAATTTCAGTATTAAAAAAAAAAGATGGGGAATCAATATTCAATTTTCTGAGGTGTTGCTGTAACACTTCACAAGGGTCACAGCACTGGTATCTCAGCACTTCATCCAGCTACCACTGCACCACAGACTAAATCTGAATTTGGCAAACACTTTCCTGGTCTCATCATCTGTTTTACAAACAGGGATTTTGAAGGCACCACAGGCAGGTGCACTTTTAGCTGTCACCCCAGTTTGGATTCATGGCATGCCCTACCCACCAGCAGGAGCAAGTGTTACTGCTCTCAGCAAAACCAGCCCAGATTTATTCATTAGCACATGAGGAAGGAAAGGCAGGAGCTGAAACCAGCACAGATTCGTCCATTAAAAAGAAGAAAAAGCTAAATCAGGTAATGCAAGAGTGCAATATTTTAACCCAAATGCAAAGAAAAATTAATCATCAAAACATTTGGAAATTTCTGGCTGTCAAGGTGTCTGATGCTGTCATGACAAGACCTCAGCCTGAAAGTGATCTCAGGCTGAATTTTTAAATTTTTTAAAACAAAAACACAGTGTCAGAGAATGACTCTTCAATGAGTCTTTATCCCTGCATTCCCATCCCTGGCAGTTCAGCTCTGGGTGCTGGGGCTGCTCTGCTTTGCAAATCTTCTGAGATACTGAAATGTCCAAAAAAAAAAAAAAAGATGTTCCTGTGAGAATGCCAGGTGAAGATTTCGAGCTGAATGTTGGAATAACCAACTTTCCAAGCCAAATTGATTCGAGGTATCTTATTTGCTTTTTGTGTAAACACAGGTAAGCTACTCTTGTATTTTAGGAAAATAATGGAAATAAAACCAAAAAGTAATGCAGTGTCAAGCTCCTTCAAGCATGCCCTGATCTGTCACTAAGGGAATCCTCCCCAGCCATGTTTGAGGGCTCCACATGAACCATGGCAGTGTCTAAAGCTGCTCTGTTTGCTCTCTCTGACACAGCCCAGTGGTTTCAGTCAACACAGATACCTGGAGACTGCCGACTTCAAACATTGTTTATTGAGCAAACAACCACCCTACAGCTCAAAAGGCAAAGGGAGGGGGGAGGAAGAGATGGGGAAGTGTCCCTGTGAATGTGAGTCAGGAGGGACACGAGCCAGCCCAGGATATTGGAGAATATAGCAAATATTCTGTTGCCAAAACCATCTAACAAAATAGACCAAGGATAAAATAGCAAAACCAGAACCATGTGTGGACTGGGTTAAAATCCCTGCCAAGAAGATGCTTCATTCTCAAGATAATAAAATTCTCTGGGTGCTGCAGTTTCCACCCAAAAAGCCTTCACAGCACCTGTATTTCAGCTGCTGGGCACTCACTTGGCCACCCAGGTCCTGCAGAGCACTGGTGGGATTCCTGCATGGAATCTTCTAGAGAGGAAAAAGGGAGGATCTACCCAATCAAAAATAAAAGGGAAAGCACACACTAGTGGCTAAAATATTCTGTTAAACCACATCAGATTTCTCAGGTGTCCTGTACCATACTTGATCCTCTTTGTGTAAAATTATTCAAGATTCAGGGTCAGAGGGAAAACAGGAGATTTCTGAGTGCTGGAAACGTCTTGGTCTTCAAGCACTGAGGTTTAGTTTTAAAACAACTCACATTCAGTCACATCACTCCTGGGGGAGGACATCATGTTGTAAAGCCAAACAAATGAAACAGAGACAGAACAACAGATCACTCAAACTTATTTTGCCCATTTTAGAATGTTTTCCAAGGGTTTACATCTCCATGGGCTTTTGACATAACTTACCTGGAGAGGTGCCTGGCATGGAAACGTCCTCATCCTCTGGAAATGTCAGCAAATCTTCTTCTGTTCCCAACAAACCAAACAGAGCCTGGAAAAAGGACTGGAGATGGAGTGAAGATGATACTTTGGGACATTACTGTGAAAGAGAAGGATCCGTGCAGGGAAGCAGAGATGGCACGAGGCAGAATGGGAGCATGGAACGTACAGAACATACAAAACATGGAAATTTCAATCATCCAGGAGAAGATGCAAAAGCATTCAGCTTTCCCTGTAGAAATATGGTAGGGAAGTGAGCACAACAAAACCCAGGAAGAAAAGCACTGAAGCCTGTCTGAGTTTCCCCACAGGATGGTGGCTCAAGGCTGTGTAACTGGGGCACTGTGGTATTTTCTGAGGCCCCCATCATTGGAAGGAAATTATGAATCTGATTCCACGTTCTTAGAAGGCTAATTTATTATTTTATGATCTATATTATACTAAAGAATGCTATACTAAACTATACTAAAGAATACAGAAAGGATACAGACAGAAGGCTAAAAGATAATAATGAAAACTTGTGACTCCTTCCAGAATTCAACACAGCTTGGCACTGATTGATCATTAAGTAAAAACAATTTACATGAAACCAATGAAACAATCACCTGTTGGTAACAATGTCCAAACCACATTCCAAAGCAGCAGAACACAGGAGAAGCAAATCAGATAATATTGGTTTCATTTTTCTCTGAGGCTTCTCATCTTTCCAGGAGAAAATCCTAGGCAAAGAGATTTTTCAGAAAATATGACAGTGACAGAGCACCTTCTGTAGTGCCCATTAGAGGGGGAGAAAATGCAGAGAAAAACCCAAGCAGGCAATGGGTTGTGAGAGGGAACACATTATTCTCCATCCATCTCCAGGGAGAAGAGGTGCTGGCATCCCAGCATCCCAGGTTCCTTCCTTACAGGAAGCCTGGGCACTGCTTCTTCTCAGTCTCAGTGCTGTCACAGCTGCCACCACTGCCAAGCAAGCTCTGGTGCCACCCTGTGCCCCTCTTTCCAGGGAGGAAATTCCCAGTTTCCATCTCAGGGCAGGAGAGCTGGCATGGCAGAGCCCTCGCAGATGGGTGAGCAAACCCACAGCTGGCACTGCAGCTTGCATTTAGACAATTACACACCCTGCCAGCAGCCACGCTTCTTGGAAGGGATTGTGCTGTAAATATTTCACTGCCTGCTGCCCGTGGCCACTAAACACTGACAAATGCTCCTGTAACAAAGGCTTGGGCTCTGGACCTCAAACCTCTTCAGTCCCAAACTCCAGCCTTGCTCCTCTAACTCATGCTCACCCTGGTAAGGTTGTTTTAGTGGGATTGGGTCAACACAGCTGCACCTACTTCCTGCAGTTCTTTTTATTCTGTCTGCCTTCTTTTTTAATTCTCAGCATTTTATTGTTTCTGAAGAGTTTAATTTAAGAAAAACGCTTGATTTCTGGTTTTCTGGGGTTTGGTTTGGTTTCTTTTTCAAGTCAACAAAACCCCCCACAATCCTGCACCTCCAGTGAAAGGAAAACTTTCCCTGCCAGAATTAAGTGGAGGTGGCAGAAATGAGGATATTTGAACAAAGAAAGCAGGAGTGATCACTACCCCATCGCTGGAGCACACAGGGAAAGGAAAGACAGAAATGGAACAGCAGCAGTGAAAAATATGCATGCATATTCAGCCCCTTTGTCAAAAAACCTTGTGCTGCAGCATTTCAATTAACAAAGTAGGATGGTTTACCTGATAAAATGCTCCCTGTGTGAGTGTAATTACATATTTATGCCCCACAGAGATTTTTTAATTTCTCTTCAGTTTGTTTGCCTTGAAAGTATTTGTCACTGGAAATGTTCTTGATGTGTAATTTTAAGGCAGGGTTGGCCAAATGTGTAGTTTGTTTTCATTTTAGATTTACTTCGCTGAAGAAGGATTGGAAGATAATGTATATTTTCAGAGCAAAGGAAAAAAAATCAATAAAGAAGGTGATACATGAACCAGCTGCAGAAAAAATACACTCAAGTGCTGCTTCAGAAATTTAATTATTTTTTTCTTTCTCTTGCTTTAAATATATTCTCAGGTGCTTGAAACAGCTTATTGTTCTGCCCCTTTCATTTTGTCCTTGCTCCTCAAATGCATCTCTTATGTTTCCAGAGAGGCTGCAATGAACAGGCAGACTTTTGGTCATTGTTTTCCTATTATTTGAGCCCTTCCTGAGTAATCCCTGCCCTGGAGACTCAGTGCTGGGCACCTTCCTATCTCCAGCAAGGCTTTACAGATGTGCTGGAACCCAAAGGTGCATCCAGTAGGTTTTGAGTTGTGGTATGTGCTGGGATGAAGGAGGAATTGAGAAGCTGACTCCATGTTCTTAGAAGGCCAATTTATTAATTTATGGTATTGTATTATATTATATTATATTATATTATATTATATTATATTATATTATATTATATTATATTATATTATATTATATTATATTATACTAAAATTATAGTAAAGAACAAAGGATACTTACAGAAGGCTTAACAAGATACTAATTAAAAACCTGTGACCCTCTCCAGAGTCCTGACACAGCTGGACCATGACTAGTCATTAAATTAAAACAATTCACATGTTGGATAAACAATCTCCAACCACATTCCAAAGCAGCAAAACACAGGAGAAGCAAACCAGATAATTATTGTTTTCATTTTTCTCTGAGGCTTCTCAGCTTCCCAGGAGAAGAAATCCTGGTGAAGGGATTTTTCCAGAAAATGTGACAGTGACATCAGTTGTCCAAGTCCTTGTCCTCACTTGTGCAAGTGCTGGGCTGGGTCAGGGCTTGGCAGAGCACAACTCCTGTAAATGCATTTTCAAACCTTAGTTTAGCCACAGAAATGCAGAGTTAAGGCTTTGGAGAGCTGCTTGAATGCTCAGGGAAGAGCAGAACTCCAGCTCCCATCAAAACCCACCCTGCTGTTACTGGGGTTTTTCCCCTTATTCCCTCCAAAGTTCCTCAGGAAGGACAGAAAGAATCTGAAGGTCAAACACACCCCAGTTTTGGCTGGGGGACAGCACAACAGCAGGGCACTGCTGGCTGGGGAGGTCAGTGAGCTTCAGAGAGATTATTGGAGAGGTTTCCTCAATAGCTTCAGCCAAGGCTTGAGAGGCCACCACAGCATAAACCATGTTATGAGGATTATTCCCAGTTCAACCTCGCAGGAAAGGAGGAATTTGGAGCAGTGTCAGGAGACAAATCCATGACCCTTCCCAAAGCCCAGGTATGCTGATGGCGCAGGATTGATTGTGCTGGGGCAAGCTGAGCTCCTGGCTCTGGAGGTGACAAACATCCAGATCCATCTCCTGGACCTGACAGCAATTCCTGACACTGCCATGGCTGGATCCATCTCACAGGCCTGGAGGAGAGAAATGAGTCCTGGAGCTGGCTCTGCTCCTTCCTCCCTGACAGATCCCAAGGGTCGGGAATGGCATCTGTTCTGTCTCTTCCACGATGCAGAAGGGGAGCTCGTGTCTTCCTGCTCCCAGGAAAGAGGCTCAGAGATGGGATTCAACCCCAGTGCCTGCCAGACCATGCCACTTCCCTGCCACAGCCAGGATTGTCTTCTCTTCCCCCAGCTGTCCCAGTGCCCCTGAAGAAAAGCTCCAAGATGAAAGACAAAGGAGCTGGCAAAGGCACAGCATGAGCTGGTGGGAATTATGTTGGGGATGAGGAAAACATGCAAAGGAAATGCCCAAAAATCTTAAAACCTCCAATGTGTCATCCAGACAACAGTGCTCTGCTACAGCTCCTCTGAACTGAGATTTTTTTCTCCCACACTTTGGTTACCCAAGAAATGCAAACTTCCCTTCTGGAAAAAATCTGGAGCTGCCACCACTGTGCTCTCTCTGTGTTTGGTGCCTGTCCCACTCGAGGGTGATTGCCAAAAGCCAAAAAACCTGATGTGGGTTAACACAGAGCAGGGAGAGCATTCTGCTGCTGCTGTACAGGTTCCTGCACACCTGTAAATAAGGTGGTACCTTGCAAAGCATCAGGTCAGGTGTGATGGTGTTCATAGGGGTCCAAGGATGAGGGAAGAGACAAGGATCTGACTCCAGGTTTCAGGAGGCTTGATTTATTATTTTATGATATATGTTATATTGAAACTATACTAAAAGAATAGAAGAAAAGACTTCATCAGAAGGCTAGCTAAGAATAGAAATACAAAGAATGAAAAACAAAGGTTTGTAGCTCAGACAGAGTCCAAGCCAGCTGACCGTGATTGGCCATTAATTAGAAACAACCACATGAGACCAATCACAGATGCACCTGTTGCATTCCACAGCAGCAGATAATCAATGTTTACATTTTGTTCCTGAGGCCTCTCAGCTTCTCAAGAGAAAAAAAATACCAAAGAAAGGATTTTTCATAAAATGTGTCTGTGACAGTCAGTTTCTTCTCCAGGGACAGGACAAGAGGAAACAGCTTTGGGTTGCACCAAGGGAGGTTTAGGTTGGTATAAGGAAAAAATATCACCACAAAAAAAGGTTGTCAGCACTGGAAAAGGCCCAAGGCATTGGGATCCCCTGCAGGGATTTAAATGATGTGCGGATGTGGCACTTGGGGACGTGGCTGGTGTGGCATACCGGAAGAAAATTTGGACTCAATGATCTTGGGTGCCTTTTCCAACCAAAATTATTCTGTGATTCCCATCTCAGGCAGCAGCCCTCTGTCCAAGCAGCAGTGTGAAAATGAGGCAAGCAGCTCTCAGGTGCACAAAGCCATGCCTGACCACCCAGACAAAGAAACGAGGGTGCTGAACATTGGCTTGAGCTAATTCCCCATCTTGTGATATGGGAAATCTCACAGTCTTCATAGAGCTCCACACAGGGTTTTGCAAAAGTTTTCCTCCACAAGAAATGCTACCATGTGGTCACCAATATTAACCACTGCAAGCCTGGCTGTTAGGAGGCAGAGTTTTGAAAAGGGCTTAGAGTCACAGGACAATGTGAAATGGCTTCAAACTGACAGAGGGCAGGGTTAGATTAGAAATTACAAAGAAATTCCTTACTCTGAAGATGGTGAGAGACACCAGAACAGGGT